AAGTAAATATGATACAGATTTGACGAGAGTAATTCGAATCTATTTGTACTCGTACTTATCTCCATTGTTTCAAAGAAAAAAATAGAATTAGAATGAAGATTGTCCATCGCAGAGGAGGAAATCAGGGATTGACATTCGAAAACAGATCGGAAAACGATTATACGAAGTATTTCACGTAGGAGTCGACGCTTTGTGATTCCTCTTCTTAAAAGAAACTTTGTTAATACAAAATTTTCAATTCCGAACGAATAACAAGAGATCATTCTTCCTCCGATCGTTCTTCCGTATCTCCCCTCCTCTTCACGTTATTTTTTTCCCCTACCTCCTTCTTTTTCTCACTTCTGTTATTCCCCAAGAGCGGATGGATATTCCTTTTGATTTATTTTCAAATTTAATACTTATATTGGTCCGTTCGTATATTTAATTCAATGAACGTTTCATTTCCATCAATAATAACCATTAAAATCGTCGCTCGTCGTGCATTGAATTCGATTCTATATTACTTACGAATTCATTGACATTTATGGAAAAACAAGTTCGTGTAAAAGTTTTTAACGATTAAATCGAATTGAAATGAAATTATTAACGCGATTATTATTTTTTTATTATTATTATTATTCTTTTTTTTTTTCTTTCTTTTTCTTTCTTTCATTCGTCAAGACGAGAAATATCGAGATATTGAGAAATGTGTTGCACATACAAGCGACAAATTATCGACGTTGGTACTATAAGATTTATAGAATTCTCCATAAGATAGTGTAGATCGAATTCTATGACTCCGTAACAAGATCAATACTTCCCAAGTAACGACATCTTCGTATTTGACAAGAAACAAGAATAGCATATAGTTTCGACGAGTCGAATCGCAATTAGCAATTGTATCGCTGACATTAGAATGGAGACAAAAAGGTATCTATAATCTATATGGCATCTACACAATATTAATACCATACGAATGTATTAACCCTTTGAAAATTGAATCGATGGAATCGCGTGTTTCGTCATATTGTGAGATTTGAGAAATGATTGGAGACGTTTTTTTTTTGCTTTAGAGAAAATAAATCTATATCATAAATGATATTTTGAAACGAAAAGAATAGAAAGGATCGTGTAATGTGATAAAATTAATAAATATGTGATAAATAAAAATGAATGCTTAGAAGAGAAAGATACAGTGTAATGAATCGTCGACAAAGAATCTTAGATGTATAAAATATCTTTGTCTTTACCTTCATTTTATGTATACCAACAGCATACTTTCTTATATATATATGATACACATACATACACACACACACACAGCATATATATATATATATACATATGTATGTATACATATGGTACCTATATATACCATATAGTACCAACATGGTACCTTCAACTATTCGTTCTCAGAATGTGTAATTTCGTTGGATGTAGTAGATTTTACGTTGAACGGATTAACGATTGATATCGCAAAGAGAAGGAAGGGTTATGAAAGTGGAATTCTCTCTCTCTCTCTCTTCTGTTCTATCTTTATCTCTCTATCTCTCTATCTCTCTATCTATCTCTCTTTCCGCGATGCTAGTGGTTGAGAAGCACGTGTATGAACTCGTTCCAGATTCCGAACGGAGAACGTATCACCCGTATACTCGATCAAAGCATCCTGCGGACGATACGCTTAGCGTGTTTCCATACACGGACTTGGAAATGTGAGTGTATCTATGCGCACGTTCAGTATAGTACGTATGAACGATCATAAAACCGACCTAGTAGTCTCACAGCGAAATTTTCCGAGTTATCTTCGAGGAGTAGCCTCGAAATGGTTTATTGGATCTCGACTCCCTATTTCTCTCTCTCTCTCTCTCTCTCTCTTATTTTCTTAATCTTTCATATTTTCTTGCGAGATAAAACTTAACTTCAAAATAAATATGATTGATTTATAAGTTTTCTAATTCCACGGTATTATTTGTCTGTCCCTTCGAGTTTTGCGGTCATAAAATAAATCAAATTACGTCGATATAGTCTATCTATTAATATACGTAATAAAAGGTATTATTTGATTACACGCTTAATATTCTATTGTTAAAAATCAAATTGGAATTAATTAACTTTTAATTGTATTTAATCTCTTCCTACGATGTTGCGTGGAAAATTTCACCTATTAAAACTCACCGTCTGACCTTTTAATCGGATAAATTCTGCCACTGTTTTTTCTTTCTGTATTCTATCCCTCTGAAGAAATACTACTACTATTTATCGTATATACCGTACGTAGTGCATAGATCGATAGAGTGTATGAAGGAAAAAAAAATAAAAAAAAAAAGAGGAAAACAGAAACTAAAAATTAAAACACGTGAATGTAGAGAAATAACTAAATAATCGTATACGTTAAATGGGTCAATCGATTCGTTTAAATGTATCGATGATATATTTGCCCTTGTTTGCAATTAATTGCATAGTGAAACGAATGAATTGCCTGAATATAGAAATATCTCCAATCATATATATATATATATATATATATATATATATATATATATATATATAAATATTCGAGGATTATACGAAAACAAGTATAATAATGATAATGGAGTCATAGAAAAAAATCGCAGTACTATCGTGATTTTAACAAGTCGCCGTTCTAATGGAGAACAAGTGGGTATTAATTCGTTTTTTTCCACGATATGGGAAACGTTTGCTCCAGTTGCCACGAAGATAAATCCGTTTTTACGAGCAGGATGTTGCAAAACTTACAGAGATATCTGGTGGCAACGGCCAGTGGTCACGAAAAAAAGAAAAAAAAAGAAAAAAGAAAAAAAAAGAAAAAGAAAAAGAAAGAAAGAAAAAAGAAAGCAAAACTAAAAAAAGAAAAAAAAAAGACACAGGAAAGAAAAAGAAGAAATTTTTCCAAACTCTGTCTCGTTTTATCTGTGCGCCTCCTTTCACTGAAGTTTTATCGTAGAAAAAAAAAAAAGAAAAAATAAATAGAAAAATACGACATGAGGGAGATGAATCAAACGATACGATAGTTCGTTCGGAAAGATAATAACACGTTCCCGATAGAACATTAAATGCTATGATCCGATTCTTCGCGTTGGATCGCACGTTAACGGCACGTAGAGTAGATTATTATGCATAAGAGATTAGCCCGTCGGAAATCGTATTAACTAACGATATATCCGAAAATCCTGTCAAAGTGCAAGTATGAATATTCGTCAATGGCTCGTTACTTTGGCTTTTTCCCGGCTTGGTTGGATTTGCGTCGCGTATTCCGTCAGCCATGAAGTTAGTGGCAATGAAAGATAGCTTTGCCTCAGAGAAATTAAAGTCATCACGGTGTATTTCGGAAATCGTGAAAACAATTCTCCTGTTCCGATGAACGGGATTGATCACTTCTACTACTCACGCGGTTTTTCTCTCTCTCTCTCTCTCTCTCACACACACACATACATACACTTTTTCTCCCATCCGTTTTATCATCCATGCCAACGGTGAAACGCACGAAAACTTTGATTGCTTCGAATTTCAAAAGGATTTCAATTTTCGTATGGCTCATAGACTGAGAGCGTCGATGTATTTCATACGAAATATTCTTCAAAATACTGAACAGAAACTAACGGAAGATAAATATTACGTTTCCATGTCGTGCGAATTGCCATAAACATTACGAAATATTTTCGTTTGGTTATTTTTGTTAATATTGTTCCGTCTGATTTTTGATCGTCTTTAATTTCTATTCAACGTTGTACCCTGTATCATATTGATTTCTCTTTCTATATATGATTTAGAAAAATGATATTTTTGGTGCTTACCAGTTAGTTTTAATGCAAACTCCTAGAAATAGGAACGGGAGGAGAACTAGGAGAATTTCAATAAATGCTTCGACAAAATGTTAATGGTATATGATATATGTCACATACCGTATAACCAGTACGAACGATTTGACTGTCGTTTTGAACGAACGAACGAACTGTATAAATGTAAAAGTAGCCGCTTATGTCTCTGTAAGTGGAACACGTTTGTGTCGGCGTAGTGGGCTTATGACTATGTGTTCTACCAGAAAGCCATTACGGTGTTTAAGTGCAAAAAGATTACTCTCCAAATGTCGACAGTTTCGAGGTCGAACAGCAGTTTATCGATTCGTCCGTATGCGAATATTTCGTTCGGTCTAACCGCAGAAACACAAAATTTTCACATTGCTTACCACTAAATTCAGAAGTTTTGTGCTTTTCGTTCTGTTCAACTCTGATGCGATAAGCGAAGCTCTTATTCGAGACAATTTTTAACAAACTTTAACCCATTTTATGGCGGACGCACGTTCCCTGGATTACCACGTTTCAAAAAGTGCGAGACGTATAACGTCGCCGAGTCAGCAAACGGAGATGTTATATTTTTACAGATCGCCCTCGGGGACTTGCATCAACGGCAACTGAAGATAGTCGCTGTCAAAACTTACACAACGTAATATATATTTCTAATATATATATATATATATACATGTATAAAAATATATACATATATATATATATTAGAAATTTGCAATGATATCTACGAATCGATGCTAGTAGAATTTGAGCAATTTAAACGTTTAATCAAAAGTCTTGTGTTGATAACACGTGAAAAAACAAAAAGAAAATCAAAGTTAAATTAAACGAACGAATTTTCGAAGAATTTACATCGATGTATCGAATAATCAAAATCCTTTCGATACTATCTATCCGATATAATATAATATATTAACATATATATATGTACATAGATATATACTTTATACAAAGTGATATATCGATCTAGGCAAAGAACAACGAGCTTACTGTGTTACGCTACGTAGACGCCATATCCACGTTGAAGTAAAAGAGCAAAGTCCGTATAACGAGTCTCAGGGAATAAAAATACGAGAAAGCAAAAAGAACTCGATACGGCTTTAAATCAAATAGACCAGAGCGTCATTCGTAGATAATTACGATGTTCTAAGATTATCATCCTACGATAAATATAATTTTAATCGAAAATCAGTGAAAGAAGATAGAGAAGAAGAAGAAGAAGAAGAAGAAAAAAAAAAAAGAAAGAAAACAGCGGGAGAGGAAAAAGAATTGTTTGGTAATATCGATTGTAAATCAAGAAAACTGTTTCGATCAAGAAAAGAGGATCTTAGGCGTCGTAGTGAAAATACAATTAAAATTAAGTCCGACGGAGTATCAAAGTTTACATGCCTCGCACCGATCTTCTGACGTTTAGGTGGCACGAAAGTTCGTCACCGATCCGATTCATCATCGAGTTCTAAGTTTTCCGAGGAGGGGAGCGAAAAAGTCGTCACGGTGTGTGGATTAGGGCGAATCCTCGGCTACATCGGCGGACGACCGTCGGTGGGGGCCGCCACTATGTCACAGTCCGGATCAGGAGGCTTAACCGGATCACAGGGTCAAACTAGTCAAAACGGGCAAACGATGGAAAATCAACAGACAGATTGCCACCAAAATGGCCGGGTCGATCCACCGACAGATACTACAAAACAGGACCTATCCAATGGTTTTGAGAATCGAACCTTGGATTACGAGCGATTTTCCCAAGAGAGAAATCAACAGGGACAAACAACCGTACAGAATCAAGATCAACAACAACAACAACACCAACAACAACACCAACAACAACAACAGCAACAACAACAACATTCGCAGCCGCAACAGCAACAGCATCCACAGCCGCAACAGCAACAGCAAGTTCAACAGCAATCACAGCAAGTACAGCAGCAATCGCAGCAAGATCAACAGACTGGACAATATCCGTCTGGAAGAAGACAATCTGTTGTAGGAGTACCAGAGGATAGACATCCTCCTACGGGTCAATTACCTCCTCAGCAATACACCGTGGATAAAACAAATCCCGAAAGAGTCCAGCACGTTTCTCAAACCAGCACGCAAACCGTCCCGGTACAAGCTCAACCTCAATTTGCTCCGGACTATGAGCAAAGTCAATATCCACAAATACGAGGTCAATTTGATGTTAGGTCGCAGATATATCCTCAGCAAGCTCAGTACGCAGAGAGGGCCGGTTATGTAACCAGAGACATTACGTATAGAGATCCAGCGCTATATGGTCAAAGCACAGTTGCCAATCCTATGTTCGCGAGTCAAAGTCAGTATGTTACCGTCCAACACGGAACACAGATACCCTCTCAGTCGGCTAGTCCACAACCACCTTACTTTGCGAGCGTTGTGGTACCTCAACCACCTGGATATACACAATTTGGTAGCCAACCTCAATATCCGTATAGCCAGTATCCTCAAACTGTTATGAATGCGGTGCCATACAATCCCCATACAGGCATCTATCAAGCTCAACAATTCGGCCAACAATCGCCCAATCCACAGAGATTCACTCAAGAGCTGAGCCAATATCAAACGCAACCGATAATTCAACCGATCGCTCAAAATGTTGCTCATGGAATAGCAATCGCTACGACTGAAAGGCCAAGTCGTGGCCCAAAGCCGATGGTACCACCCCGTGGAAATTCAAAAATCACACATGATACAGGACACAGAAAATCGGCTAGCGTCGACGTACCGGCATTGCAAAAAGTTAAATACGAATCGCAGAATCCCCCTCAAGATCAGATTCATCGTAGCGAAGGTGCCATAATCGTACAAGGATCGCAAATTGCTACAGGTGAAACGCAAGAAAGGAGATATCTAACTACGATAAACCAGAATCCTAGAACAAGGCAGGACGGTCTCTATGTGGACGCAAATGGTGATCAAACGGTACGGGAGAAGGTCGTAGATAATATCGGAACGGAGTGTGGTTTGTATGTTTCTAAATCGGAGCACAGAAAGTCCATATCCGTTGACGTTACAACGAGTTTTCAAAGACGCAACGATACTATCACTTTTACGTTTCCCGGTGATGGAAATCAAGATATGGCTGTACCATCCAGAAAGCCAACGGTTATAGAACCAAAACGAGTCGAGGGTACGCAGGTATTTCCACCTGATCAGAGAAGATTGGACGCGAGCTTAAGAGTTTCACCTATGGCGTTTGATTCGAGACAAGAAAATCGGAAAAGTGTGGCCACCGAAAGAAAGGCAGATTGGGGCAATGTGAGTCCGAATCAAAGAGTTGTCATACCGCAAGAAAGCAGACGATCGGATTATTTCGAAGAACATAGACGATCACCGATGAATTTGGAAGGTAAAAGAGTGGAAGATGTTAGAAGATCACCAATGCCTTTCGTTCCGATTCGAGATACATCTGCCGATCGGGCAAATCAGAAAAGTCCATCGTTTGTTAATCAAAACTTCGAGAAGACCAGACAAGAATTAGCGATGTGGGCCGAACAAAGGCAACGTCAAGAATTAGAGAGGAGCATGATGCAGAATCAAATATTTTCTACTAGTCCGCGATCTCGTAATCAATCCGAGGAAAGAAGAGAATCTCGATCTTCACATCCATCCGAAGAACGTAAAGAAACTAGAATGTCGCAATCTGCTTTTCAACCGTTGCCGAACATCAGTCAAAGTACTATAATGGAACAGCGTCGTCATTTACGACACGTAAGTGCTGACTTAACAAAACACATGGAATTGTCTCGAAAAGATTTCGATGATCAACCGATCAGTGGTTCTGTAGCTAATCTTGGACCAGGCACTGCGAGTACTGTTTCATCACAAAGAGCCAGTCCAAATCTTTGTCATCAGTATCCAGCATTGAGCGAAGCCAAATTAGACACTAAGGCCGTATTAACAGTAGTCACCGATTTCGGAGAGTCTAATACAACTAAACAAAGCGATCAAGTCGATCATATAATACACAGTCACAGAAAGAGTCACAATATCTCTTCGAGTTTATTAACTCATAGCAAAAGTCAAACGGAATGCTTACAGAGTCAGCTTGATTCCCAAAGTGAAAAATCGGATTCCCTTCAGGCCCAACAACAACAGTTACACAATCAGCAGAGTCTCGATTTGATTTCGGAGAAGCTAAGCCAGTTTGAACGTCAACAGAGCGACCTTCAAGCTAAACTGCAATGTCTTCAGAATCAAAATCAAATCTTAGATAAGGTCGCTCAATTTCAGCATCAACAGAGCGACTTACAGGCACGATTACAAAGTTTGCAAACGCAGAATCAAATCGGTGATAAGATTCAGCGACAATCTACGGAAATTCAACAGCACACCGTTGGAAATGACGTACACCAAATACAAATGAGTCCTTTATGCAATCATCAAGATCATTTGGAGAAGACACCCTCTTTGTCTCAGAATCAACATCAGGTGGTGCACAGCCACCATCACAGTTTACTGACCACCACGTATCCGCAAAGCTCGAGCCTTCAAGCTTGCCCGTCGTCCGTTTGTGAGAAACTATCTCCACGTATCCAACACGATGTCAATGATCCGAATTCCATTCAGATACCTAACATGTCACAGATGCCACTTCCTTGTCTCCCACAGTTCGATCGTGCTGATACGTCGCGTGGTTCGTTCTCGCAGTTTCATCGACATCAGTGTCAAATCGACAGTCACGATAGTACATCAGCGACATCGGCTGGGGGAGTTGTTGTCGGTACCGTTGGAGTCAGTGGAAGCATCGTTGGTGGTACTACTACAACGAGCACCTTTACCGGGACCCTCAAGAAAGTTCCACCAGAGAAGCCACCGAGACAGTCCTTGACCGTGCAGTCTCCGGAAGCAGAGGTAAAAAAAAAAAAAAAAAAAAAGAAAAAAGAATATAGATGTCCATTCAGATATAGCTACAAAAATTTCCATTTAATTTAACAGCTAACTTTTTTATTCCTCTTTTTCCTTTATCGAACTCTTGCATGCATCTAGGTTTTTTCCTTTTTCTTCCTTTTCTTTTTTTTTAAAGAAATCACATATTCTTTTTCATGAGTATACGTACGACCATCGATCGATTCGAATCTAAATAAAAAAGAGAATCCTCGTACCAATCTTGTCGAGATCGTATGCATACCGTAGGGAAGTTTTCTTTCCTTTTCTTTTTCTTTTCTTTCATAATACTTTCTTTTTTAATACTTTCCAGAATATTTCAATGTGAAAATAAAAGATGCGTGAAAAGAGATGCCGCTTGCGTTAGACAGAGAACTGCACTCATTCCGTTTTTTCCTTTTCTTTGTTTTTTTCTTTTTTCTTTCTTTTTTTTTTTTTATTTCTCTTTTTTTGCCGCAGCAGTCAAGTGGAATGAACTCGTTAGATATCAGGCTCAATGTTGTCTTTGAAAACTTCGTTACGAGCGTTGTGTATCTTTCACTTTACTTCCAAACCAGAGAGACCGACTCTCTCCGCATCTCGGATCTGTCGCGCCTATAAAACGAGATGAGCTGACGTCCGAGGACGATCTCATTCGCTAGCTCGTTGTACGTGTTTAGAATCGAGAATGGCAGATTTTGCGAGGATACAATCGCCCCCTTTTACTTACTTTTCTACTTTCTCTATTTTCTTTTATTCATCGATAAGGATTAATATCCCGAAGAAGTTTGCCTTCGTTACGGATTATCGTCGAAAAGTATTCCTCCAATTAAAGACGACCGATAGAATACATTGAACGGGTCAATGAAAGTTGATCTGCGTCTCTTGATAAAAAATGGACAAAAAAAAAAAGAAAAAAGAAATATTTCTCGAGGGTTGTATGAATATCATATAAATTCTTTCCAAATATCTCTTTGGCTCGGTCTGTCTCTTCTCTTTCTCTTTCTCCCTTTCGTTCGCTCTTTGTAATTCGATATCGCTGGAATAACGTTGAATATTGTAAAAAAGAGCCGTCCGTTCGAAGTTCGGTATTCATGTAACATCGAAATTGATTTATTTCTAGGCGACAGACCTTATTCGTTCTCGTTCACATCGACGTTCCCAACGTCAACTTTAAAACGTTGCTATCCTAATAAAGTATCCATAACGTGAAGGAATGCAAATAACGTGTAGGCACTTTTCACAAACGGCCTGTTCGTACATACGTCGTTCTGTCTTCACTTTTGTCGTTTCTAACAAAATTGGGTTAGCACAGCGACTTTCTCGCGTATGAAAAGCTCCGACGTTTACCTTGTCGATAAAGCAAATATCCCCCTCCCCCTTCTTCCAGCAGTCCGTACCTTCCTTCCATGCTGGACAATGGAAGAGTAAAGAGAATTCACATTTCCGACCATGGTGCTATCTTACGTAACTAATGTAGGACCGTTTCTGGGCTAAATCATGGCCCGGAGCTTCACTTCCATTCATTCCAAGAACAATGAACGTAAATGCTTATTTGCCGTTCTCATTTACTCTCTCATCGTAAGTGATGAGAAACGAATACAAACGCCAGGCGTTACAAATAATTTTCATTTCGACAGGTAAAAGAGAACAAAAAAAAAAAAAAAAAAAAAAGAAAGAAAAACAAAAAAAAGTGAGATACGTTTGAACAATCAATAAATATTATTTCTATCGAGAAAATTTACGTTATATTTCTTTTTGACGCGAGAACGATACTTTATCTAGTCTCATCTTCACCTGACACCCTTACCCTTCCTTCTACTTTCTCTCCATCCTCTCAAATCTCATTTTAGCTTCTTGTATTTCTCATTTGAACCGTGAAAAGGTATTAAAACAAATGAGCCACGTGAACATATCCATTTCTCAATCGGCTTAAAGATGAGCAACGCACAAGGCACCCTTTTCAAAACACGTTTCTCCCATTTAGACGAGTTCATTGCGTTTTCTTTCTCTTTCTCTCATTCTCTCTCTCTCTCTCTCTCTCTCTCTCACTCTCTCTCTTCCTCTTCTCTCTTCCTCTCTATTTCTCGCTTTCTCTGTTGATGCTCGTTTCTATTATTATCTTCTTTACCGAACTTTGAACTTTCGAAATGAATTCTCTTGTGTTAACCATTTCAATGATAGTCACCTTTTAATCAATGCGCATCTTGGGAATATGATACACACATATATATATATATATATATATATATATATATATATATAAAATCTTTGTAGATTGAATATTTCGATTAAATATTTTGATAATTTGTGAGCTATGTATGAGATAGAAAATGAAAATAAAAAAGAGAGAGAGAGAGAGAATAAATAAGCAACGAGGAAGTTCGATGATAATAAGCATTTCCTGTTTCTTCTTCAAAGAGAAGGGACGTTAATATTCGAGCCACAGTCCCAGATTGGATGTATTTACAACGGAATCATTTTCTTGCAGTGGACGTCGGGCTTGCAGAGAGCTTTGCTTTCACAAGCGAGCTTTCGCAAAACAGAAATTCTCTTACTCTCGTTACGCATTACGAACTCGAGTTAGAAGCTAATTCGTGTTCTTGCGGAGGACCGAATTACCGTAGAAATTCGACTGAAAAGTTTTTAATATTTCTTTTCTTCGCGGAACAAAGAATTCGGTACGACTTTGTAATCCGTCGTAAATTTGATTTTTCTCTTTCTCCACGATCCACTTATTTTCTTTATTCCCCCTTTCTTTTTCCATTCATACTTTGTCGCGAGAAACATGATAGTTTTGATCATTCGAAGTGTGTTACGTTATACTTTATAAATTTTACGCTCACGTTTTAGTTTTCTCCAACTTCCTCACAATTTTCTAGTTACTCTCGTATCTACTCTCTAAACGTTATCCAGCAAAATTGAAACTAACGGCAACGGATAGTATTATGTTTCACCGGCATAGTCTTCCTAGAGTATATACACATATATATATATATATGTATATATATATATATATATACACACACACACATACACACACACACACACATATATTGGTTGAAATTGAACGTGCTATGCCTATGATTTTGTATCGCGTCGTAAGAGATAACAACAAATGGTTATTAAGTAACATCATGTTTTAAAAATTCAGTTTCAAAAGGGCAAATATGTTATATGATTATGAAGTTTCGTTATTCGTTTATACCTTTTAATTTTCCGTTCTAAAAAGGATATTCCATTCGATTTCAATGTCATTAAGAAGGAGTACGGCGAGTGTGCGAGTATAGATTTGATTTAAAGTTTATTCCTCTTGTGGAAAAACTTGCCTCTGAATACACGGGCTAAGTTTACAGTTAATTACATTTGCTACTAACGTATACAACGATAACCATAAAGAATAAAACATATGTTTTAATTTGCGGCAAAGTGGAACAAAACATTACAAGCACAAGAGAAAGGGGAAAATTATTGATCTATCGATTGTTACAATTCGTTCATTCGATAAACACAATTAAAACAATGTTCTTGTATCAAACAATCGTTATTATAATTGGCGCAGTTATTGAAATAAAATGAAAAAAATTAGATCATAATGAAATAACAATATTATTTCAGAATAGAAATTATAATAAATATAATATCATTGTAAATAATTTCATCTGATTTTATCAAAATATAGAAATATACTTTCGATGAAATATTCTTCCTATATGCGTACGAATGAAGAAAAGTTTGAAAACGAATTTCCATAATATTTACATCGAATTTTCTAAAAACTAAATTTAAAAACTAAAATAAAAACTAAATTGCGTTGGAAAATAGTCGACGTAAAGTAATAAAATAAAATAACGGAGTGGCAACGATCGTTACTCATCGGTGTTACTAGCAACACGAGAAATATTAAACGTAGTGATGAGTCAAATAAATACGCGTGTTATATTTTTCCATTTCTATAAGTGTTGAGAGCGTATCTCAATCAATTTCATAACAAAGCATTTTTACTTAAAGAACGAGATATTGCGATAAAAATCCGAGTACGTAATTTCCGCCATTGAATATGATGTACACATTTACCGAGAAACGGAACGAAGAGAATGGATAAAGAATAAAAACGTTATTCCTGTTCTGTTTATTCCCAAGGGTACGCTTCACTTTAAATCAGAGAGAAGCCATCGTTTTGATAGATATATCGCATTATATTATTAAAAGGATTTGAGTGATACTCGAGATTCTCGATGACAATTCAACGTTGATATTTTGGCGAATTAATACTCGTTTTAACTCGCTATCAACTATTGAACCGGATACAAGAATGGTCCTGGTGGACCAAATAATTTTTCACGAATACGAAATACTATATGTATCCAATAAAAGAGAGTGGGGGGAGGGAGAGAGAGAGAGAGAGAGAGAGAGAGAAAGAGAAAACAAATTCAACGAATGAATTTGTTTATTAGAGAATGTCTTCTAATGAAAAAAGTATCTCTTCAATTTATCATAGATAGGGTACTCATCGCAATGCTCAACTTTGAAAAAAGTTTTATACCAAATAAAAGGAATGAATCTTCCATTATATGAATAGATAGTTCAGTGGTTGAAACATTTATGAGGAGACCAGGTCGGTCACAGAGAATCATGAAAAGTAAGGATACCGATAAAAGAATATAGCAGGTATCAAACCATCCCGTTCCTTTGGCAGTCTTTGAAAGTGTAAATAATCAGAAGGTTTCGAATTCAAAAGGCCAATCTTAAAGCTCGATACAGAGGTCATATGTTTTGAAACTTTTAAACCAAACTCGAAAGAGCATACACTCTTTCGTAATATTTGAAAAATTTTTCTGAGTATTTGAAAGAAATTCTCTTAGGATTTTTCTAAGACAAGATATATATATATATATATATATATATATATATATATATATATATATATTCCGAATCTATTTCAATGATTTTGCTTTTATATCACTCTTTTCGTTGTATTTGGAAAC